GAAAATATGGATAGTTCGGAAACTAGGGTTCTCTCAACCGAACCGAATTTCCGAATTTCCGACCAAAAAACCAAAATACTATAATTGCAAGCTCCAAATGGTGGATTTTTATGTTTGTAGTTGTTTTTAGACTTAAATATTTGAAATATTTTATGACTTATGTGTTGAAAAGTTTGATTTTGTCATTGACGATGCATATAATTATATATTTATTGTTTATATTAGGGGTAAAAATAATTTAAAAGTGATAAGATACAAGTAGTTTAACAAATTCGGTTTTGTGTGAAAAACCGAACCGAACTGAATTATAATTTGGTTCGAATTCGGTTTGAGGTTTGGGAGAATTCGGGGACCCGATATTCATAATTTCAGTTCAGTCGAAACCGAATCGACCGAATGCCCACCCCTAGGTCGCGAGCCAAAAAGTCACCGCGTGGGGGAGTCTCTGGCTGCCTTGGGGCGGTACTGGAAGGTGGAGTAGAACTCCCACACCAGCTCCGTGTAAGTAGAGTCTTCGATGCTCAGGAGTGTCCGCCACTGTGGGTGGCTGATGGCTGCGGCGATCTCATCCATGCAGTGGAGCTGCTGGAAAACGCCCCACACCAGGTGGTGATGGCGGTGGAACACGCCGTTGATGACTCGGCGGTACTGGTCGGCGTACTCCGGGTGCAGGCGTAGCCCTGCATGAAGGGGTGGTCGAGAGACATGATCCTGCAAAATCAACAAACCAAAGGTGGAGCCAAGAAAATATGCATTAGGACCACAAGTATAAGTTCAACAGTTCCCCCACACTTTAAGGACACCTATGGTAAGCAATCACGCACAAACAGTTGAATGGCAAGCAAAACAACCGCAATCAAAGCAAGAATCATGCACAAACGACCTATTCAAGCAACCGGGCATCACATATGCCAATCATAACCACGACAACCCTCACCCTATTCTAATTCAAACATGCCATGCAATTCACAGTTCTCGGTCCTAAAATCTACAGTCCGATTTTCCAAAAAATAACAAATTGAGCAAACAACACACCTGGAAACTCAAGTAGGACCGTAGAGGGGATGCGAAACCACGCACAAAACGGGCTGGAAAAGCTCACCGGAAAGTGGCCGGAAATTGGCTGGAAGGTGGCCGGAAAGTCACCGGAAAACGGCCGCCGGCGGCGGCGCTCAGGCGGGAGAGAGGGGGGAGGAAATGAGAGGGAAGAGAGGGGAAGTTTGGAAAAAAATGAGAGGAGAGAGAAAGTTCTGGCCGGGGGTTGGCTTTTATAGGCAAAATACCGGGTCGGGCCTCAAAAATACCTGGTCGGGTATTTCGAGGCCACGGTCGGGTATTCCGCCTGAATCGCCAATCACAAACATAGGGGGTCCCGGACCCGAGGCCAAAATACCTCCTCGGGTATTTTGGCTTCAGGTCGGGGATTCTCAGTTTACGCCCCCCTGAACAGAAGGGGTCCCGGCTGCGAGACCAAAATACCCGGTCGGGTATTTTGAGTCACGGCCGGGTATTTTTCCCCTTGCGGCCAAATCTCCATTTTTCTCATTTTTTCGAACTCCCCTGCACGAAAACACCAAAACGAGGCATACCAGACGATTGAACTTCAGCAAAGGCGTTCAACTGACTCAAAGACAACACAAAACACAGAGAAAAGGGAAAAAGAAATGCAAACCGTGGTGGGGTTGCCTCCCCACAAGCGCTTCTATACCGTCTTTTAGCTGGACGCCCATGGCGGAACTAAGGGTCCGCGAGTTCAACCACCAACTCTGCTCGTTCGACCTCGTCTCCCACGTAGAGCTTGAGACGATGGCCATTCACTTTAAACGGCTCAGTTTGCGGGTTGGCAATTTCAATCGTGCCATACAGGAACACTTGTGTGACCGTGAACGGTCCAGACCACCGGGAGCGGAGCGTTCTAGGAAAGAGTTTCAAGCAAGAGTTATAGAGGAGAACTCGCTCACCAACCTGAAATCCTTCGGACCCCGCAATCGTGCGTCGTGTAGGCGCTTAGTGCGCTCCTTGTACAGCTTAGTGTTCTCATAGGCGTGATAACGCCATTCCTCCAGCTCCAGCATCTGCAATTTTCGTTCAACACCTGCAACACTAACATCCAAGTTGAGCAGCTTAAGCGCCCAAAAGGCCTTGTGCTCTAGCTCCATGGGCAAATGACATGCCTTTCCATAGACAAGCCGGTACAGTGAAGTACCAATCAACGTCTTGTAGGCAGTTCGGTACGCCCAGAGAGCATCATCGAGCTTGGTGGACCAATCTTTGCAGGACTGATCCACCGTTTTCTTCAGTATACGCTTGAGCTCCCGATTCGTCAGCTCGGCCTGGCCACTTGTTTGAGGGTGATAGGCCACAAATACCTTATGAGTGACACCATAGCGAGACAGTAACTTATCAAACTGGTCCTGGAAATGGGTGCCTCGATCGCTTATGATGGCTTTAGGTGTCCCGAACCGGGAGAATAGCTGCTTCAAAAATCCACAAACACGTCTAGCATCATTAGTGGGCAAAGCTTGCGCCTCATCCCACCTAGAGACGTAATCAACAACAACTAGGATATAGGTATTGCCAAAGGATGGAGGAAAGGGGCCGATGAAGTCGATACCCCAGACATAAAAAATCTCACAGGTTATAAATACATTCTGGGGCATCTCATCACGGGTAGAGATATTACCTGACCTCTGGCATCGTTTTACAATTTTTGATTTATTATGTACATGCATCGAGGCTTGGGTTGCAGCAATGTGTCAAGCCTGATTTAATCACGATCGAACTACGATTTTAGCACAAAATACCCCAACGTTAACTTTACCGGTACGACCTTCAGTATGGTTTTACAATTTTTGGCCTTTTTTATGAACATACATCGAGGCTCGGGTTGGAGCAACGGGTCAAGCCTGATTTAACCATGATTGAACTACAATTTTAGTAGAAAATACCCCAATGTTAACTTTACCGGTACGACCTTCAGTATGTGATAACGATGAAATTGCACATGTTTGCACCCCTAGTTCTTATCCGTTTGTGGGGCATAGTCGTGTATTTTTGGCCTATTTTACGCCGGGTTGTGCTACTTTGTCACATATCAGGTCCTGGACGTAAAAGGAAAGGCTAAGCACGAGTTTCGGGGCATTCGGAAGTCATCCGGTCGAGCTGGAGCCAAAGCACGGGCACGCCTAATTCAAAGCACGACCGTGTTCCTGGACCGTGTTTTCACTGCCGAGGCTTCATCCACGTTTGTCCTACACTAGTTCAAAACACGGGCAGGACCGCCCCAAAACACGGCCGTGTCCATCATCAAGCAAGCCCGTGTTTTTAACACGTGGCAAGGCACGGGCGGCCTGGAGCAAAGCACGGCCGTGTCCTCGACCGTGTTTTGCCCAGTGATGCCCTTTTAGGCAGATTTCAGCCAAAAGAAAGGGGGATTCGAGTTTTAGAGAGAAAGAGCGATTCCTAGAGAGAGAAAGCGACGAACAAGAGTTCCCAAGTGCCCTAGCTCGATATTCATCACCATTGGAGCCCGGCTTGAGCTTGGAGAAGTGCCGATCGACGACCAGGAGCAGAAACTCATTCTTCACAGTATGATTTCCGCATCTGAATCTGCTTTTGCTTCTCTCTCCATGGAGTAGTTCTCCTATTCATCTGGGTATGGAGAACCCTAGATTTGTATGTTAGGTCTGATTGTATAAACCCAAGTATAGAGTTTATGATTTGATTATATTCGATTGAGGCTTGAATGATTGAATGACTTGAATCCTGATCAAATTCCTGTTGTTTCTGCTTTAACCTAGAAAGAGAATATCTGCCTAGGATTGATAGAGCACCCTTTATTGAAGGTAGGGAGTTGGTGACTTTAGTCGAGGAGCCAACTCACTATTCTGTACCGAATTCACTTCGGTAGTGGAGGTTTTGTTCATTAGGGCCTCAATCTGTTTACTCCGGTGGAGGTTAGTCGCTCGCTAGAGACTCAGATTGAGAGGGTCTGGAGACCTTTAGTCGAGACTTCAGACTGTTTTAGAACCTTCCGCAGTATAACTTTCATGAAAACTGAACTTGGTAAATTGCAATCCGGCTTAACTGCAGTCTAGGGGGAACCATATCCGGGTGACCTTTCTCGACTTGAAACAACCATTTAACTTGCTTTGTGTTTTTGTTTGTTTGAACCTGGACTAAAGTTTCACTGCTAGATAACAAGAATTCACCGAGTAGTCATCAAATCTAGGACCTGGGTTGACATTAAAACCCAAACCCGCTATACTACGCTTTAGGAAGTGGTTACACTTGGCCATTTTCTAGAGTGACAGTAGGAGTGAGTCAGTATGTTTTTACAATTTTTGTCTTTTTATGAACATGCATTGAGGCTCGGTTTGGAGCAACAGGTCAAAGCCTGATTTAACCATGACTAAACTACGATTTTAGCAGAAAATACCCTAATGTTAACTTTATTGGTACGACCTTTGGTATGGTTTTACAATTTTTGGGTTTTTTTTCTAAACACAAATCGAGGTTCGGGTTGGAACAACTTGTCAAGCCTGATTTTAACCACGGTTGAACTATGATTTTAGCACAAAATACTCTAATGCTAACTTTTCTTGTATAAACTTAATTTATGATTTTTTCTGAACATAAATCGAGACTCGGTTTGAAACAACGTGTAAAATCTGATTTAACTGGGCTACCCAATATAAAAATGAGGTGCAAAGGATAAAATGAAAGCAACTCATTATATAAAACTCTAAAACATGGCCAATCATTGATGAGGCCGGCTCTCATTATGGATTAGTCAAAATCTAGAAAAAAAGATTAATTAGCAACAGGCCAATAAAAGAATGGCTGTGAACAAAGCAAAACTAACCAACCTGTCACATTAGAATGACCCTTATGCAACCGTAGACATTTTCTAACTTTAATAATATTATATTCATGGATATTAGTATTGTATTAGGATTAGGGTTCGTGTTAGTAGCTTGAATCCACATCCCTTCTCTCCCCTGTACCTTTGCGCTCTCCCCCTGTACCCATGTCTCCGACGGGCGACGGCAGCTCAAAACATAGAGAAGACGCTGAAGACCCATGTGATCGGACAGGAAGAAGCGGTGAAGGCAGTGAGCCGGGCCGTGCACCGCGCTTCAGCAGGGGTGATAGACCCGAACCGACCAGTGGCGAGCTTCCTCTTCAGCGGCCCAACCGGCGTTGGCAAAACAGAGCTCGCCTGCGCGCTGGCAATCGAGTTCTTCGGGTCGAAAGAATCCTTGATTCGGCTGGACATGAGCGAGTACATGGAGCGGCACAGCGTGGCGAGGCTCTTCGGCTCCCCGCCAGGCTACGTCGGCAACCAAAACGGCGGCCAATTGACGGAGGCAATCCGCAAGAACCGCCGCTCCGTCGTCCTTTTGGACGAAATCGCAAAGGCCCATCTGCAACGCCCCCCTCCAAGTACTCGATTACGGGGTCATGACGGACGGAAGTTCATTTCAGAGGCGCAATTATCATCATGACGTCCAACGTCGGCCAGGGAGCCGTGATTGGAGGGATCCCAGGAGCGGCACCGAAGGCAAGGGTTACGGAGGAGAGCTTCAGACCGGAGTTTTTGAACAGAATCGACGAGATTGTGGTTTTCAGGGCCCTGGAGTGGAGGCAGAGCAGGTGAAGAAGAATTCAAGTGGCGGTACAAGGTTACAGTCCTTGCTACGGAGCCAGGCCGTTGAAAATGCGGCTGGTTGAAGATCCATTGGCGGATGCAATTTTGGACGGGAGGGTTGCAAAAGGCGGCTGCATTGCTCTGTCCGCCGAGCGCCGACGGCCGCCACATCGTCTCCAAGCAGGCGACCACCGCCGCTCCGTTGACGGGGTGCCGTCGTCTTGCGTGATGGAGGTATGGCGGCAAAAGGAAGCGGCGGCGTGCCCAATTCCCAACCTATCCCAAACGATCAATATATCGCGAGAACAATCTTTTATTCATCGATTGTGGTAGCGTGTATTGCATTAGTTGTTACTGCGTTCTATCCACTGATTTTTTATAAAGATTGAGAAAACATTCTTGTACACGAAAAATTAGTGGCATGTAGTGAAGTTGTGGTATAACTCGGTAAGAGGTTTTATGGTCGAATCATTGGTACGATACGATTTTTTTATATTTGATATTTTTCATTTTTTGATTTTTGGTAGCTTTTTATTGTATCTTTGCGAATCTTGTCAAATCGGTATAATATGTTCGATCAATGAAGCAAATAGTTTGAGGTTTACTCATTTTAACTTGAGATTTTAATAACTTGAATGTAGTTTGACAAGTGATATACGATAACTTAATACTTAATAAATTATTGTATGACTCTAACCGTTGTGTATATATGCTTCATTTTTCATAATAGAGTTTGGGAGAGGGCCAACGCGCATCATTATTTCTAAGATTCGGAAATGGTCAATCCGGTCAAACCACTAATTGTTTGTTATTTTGATCGGCTACCAGTTTGGTGACAAAATTGTTTTTTGTGGGACGTTTTAACCAACGACTTCGGTCGGACCTTGTCCAACTAGCCAGCTTGATAACGGCTTGACAATATCTGTACTGTCCTATTCATGGGTGAGTGACCTTTTTGTTTTATTAAGCACATATTTTTATTTGTAAATATGAATTGTCAGGCTGTCAGCCAAAAAAAAAAAAAAAACAAGGGGCAGTGGAATAATCAGCCCCCACCCCCTTTTTTGGTTCGAATTAATGTGAACCATCAGATCTGCTATGATCGGACATATGGGGGTTTGAATTTGTAGTTTATGGTTTGTACAGTAACCACTTTCATTTAAAATTCATCGTTGAAGAAACTGAATATAGGGGCAGTAATTGGTCGGTAAACGGTTAAATCAACCGATTACCAACTCAAACTGAATTGGTAATTTGATTTTCATTTTAACTTATAAATATTTCTAATTTTATCAATGATGCCAACCTCTTAAGCGCAACATGTAACCATGTAGTTTGATGTATAAAATAAAATTGTATTCCTACTAATACGTAAAATTTTACGAACTATGCTAATTATAATCCTGCCTAATTAATCCCTTCCGACTAATTCCTCGCTTATTTCCGTTGATTATTTTGCCCCATTTAATTTTATGAAGTATGCTAATTATAATCCTACCTATTCAATCCTTCCCTTCTTCCGCATTGCATAGATAATCTTCCACAATTACGGTGTATATGATATCATCAGTGTCGCCGGCTGATACATCTCCTCTCCTCTAATGGAGGCGGATTACTCCCAGCTGCCGGAGGACATAGCAGTGAAGATAGTGAGGGAACATTTGGTGACGACCTCACAGCTGCTCACCTTCTCCGCCGTTTGCAAATCATGGAGATACATCGCTCTCCGAATCTGACCGCAAAATTACAACCACGACGGCTCTCTACCTTGCCTCCCAGTCGGCCTCCTCGTCGTCGATACCGATATACACCTACCTGTCTCATCTCGGTGGTCGCCTACTCGTTGTCTTTCACACTCTCGCCGAGAATGATGATAAAGACGTCACGTTCCAGGTGATAAAGACGTCGCGTTCCAGGTGAATAGTGACTAAACCCCAGTTTGAGCTTGGCGCGTTAATAAACGAGCTGAGCTCGAGCTCGACCCATTTATTAATGAGCCGAGTCGAGTCGAGCTCGAGCTAGGCTCGTTTAATAAAATCTTGAGTCATGTTTGATATTTCATTTTGAATGTCATGTATGATATATATGATGGATGTCATGATGAACAAAAGAATAATAAATCAAATGGTCAATATTAACTAATTTCATATTATACTTTGTTGGGAGGAATTGAAGAGTTTGGATGGACATTCTTTGTTCCTCGGCTTCTCGCACCTGTCCATCTATCTCCCCAGCAGCGGCGGCGGCGGTGGTAAAATCTACTTCGCCTTCTCCTACTATCACGGCTTTCATCTACATTACATTGATGGCTATGCGCTTGCTACCAATCCGTATCGAAATGATTGCGGCGTCTTCAACTTGGCCTCTGGAAAGCTCGAATGTTTTGCTCGTCGCGATGGTCATAACCAGAACTACTTTTGGTTCCTCCCTTTCCCCTGGCAAGTCCTCTCTACTAATAAATCTATAATAATTCTCTCTGTCTATATATTAATGATGTACTTTTGGATACTATCCTGATGGATTAATTAGTATTAGTGCAGGAATATCTGTGAGCATACAAAACATAAAAAGAGGGCTGAGAATTGGAAACGGATGTTGCTTCAGACTTCTACCCATATCGAAAGGTCACTACTTCAGGCAACATTCTCTTACGATTTTGGTCCAACCGAAATGATTGTTGTGGCGTCTTTTAATATTACCGCGATTACGATTTCGAAAGTTTTTTTTCATCGCCAATCTATTCCCTAACCAACTCTAATTAATGAATTGCTGCAGGAATATTCGTGAGCAGAGGGAACATGAAAGGAGGAATGTTGAGAATCGGAAACGGCAGCTGCTGCTTCAGAGCTCGAACAATATCAGTAGCAGTAGTAGTCCCGATGAAAGTACCCACGGCGGCCGGCGTACTAGTGGCAGTGATGCTCTGGTGACGAGGACAAGAGGAACAATATTGACGAAAATAAGACGACCAATAAGAACGTCCAACAACAACTGCATAATAAAAGCAAAGTTACCAGTAAATTCTGCACCAACAGATTCGAAGCTTTGTCAATGGTTGATGATTAGGACCAAGACAAAAACCGCCCCACATTAATGTAAGTAGACTAATTTCACATGTTCCCTTCTATTCCTTCCTTCCTCTTTCTTCTTTCCCAATCTACAAATGAGACAAGAATTCTATGAATTGGTGCGTTTAATTTCTTTTGGCTTTTAGAAGATTATTATTCTTCTTATCTCAATAAAAAACAACAATATTGTGGGATGGAATTTATGTAATGTAATTAGTTTTACCTTGCATGCAAATTTCCTCATTTCTCTGGTGAGATTTTAATCTCCTAATAAATAGTTTTTACCTTGCATACAGATCCTCCTAGTTGCATATGACGGATTTTAGTTACGAGTTTGTCAAATTGTTTTTTAGGATTTCTTCAAGCCGAACAGAAATCATTGACACCCACCATGGGGCTGATTTGGATTCATTCGTTCGATTGCGGAAGGAGGAAGAACTCTGAATCTGAAGAGAAGACAGAAGCTTGATCAAAGAAAAATAAATGAGAAAAGCTGGCCGCAGTTGAAGAAACAGAAAAGGTCTTCGTTCCCCACCACCCATCGCCGGCGACAACAGCGTAAAACGTAAATATTTGTTCTTATCGAAAATAAGAAGAGAGAGGAAACCACACAAGCATCCCAGACCCACCGTCGATGATTCACTTTCTTCCTACTCTTTCCCCAAGAAACCTCTCCTCAACGGCACCAACTTCACCAAAAAAAAGTTAGGAAAGATAAGACCAAATATTCTTTCCCCAGTAGCAGAACCATGAAAAACTAGATACAAAGAATAAGGGCCAAGAAGAAAGCAAAAAAAAAACCATCTCAGATTCCGATCGCCGATGACAGGTTCGGTGCCGGAGCTCCGATGAGAATAAGGAAGAAGGTGTAGTAGCCAACACGAGCATCTGAAACTTCGTCCTCCTCTCGCTCTTCCCAAACATCTCCGACAAGACATTTCTCCTGTGTTAGAATGAGACCACGATTTGAGAAAAAGTACAAAAGACGGGCTACAGTCCACACCCTTCTCCCTCTATTAGAAGGATGGATCAGGCGCTCTTATCGAGGCAAGATGTTGCAATGGACGCAGGCTAGTGTCACTTGCTAAAATTCTCTTTAGCGGCCACGGAAGAAGATAATCAGTGGAAAAAGAAAGAAAGTGCGAAGAACACAGGAGAAAAGAAAGCAAAAAAAATTTAGTCTTAAGGATATTTGGATGAGGGAGGAGCTGTTAGCGAAGAAAGAGGGAAAAATAGGTTGTCATCCACGAGTAAGCTCACGGCGGCCCATTTTCTGAGACCCGCGCGTAGTCCGCGCCCCAGGACGCTTCCACGACACCATCATCTGATCCACCCGCACCATGTCGGCTGCTTGCGACTCGTGGCAATACAAGTGTCACGTAGGCGCTACAACTCATCTCGCGACTCAAACACATTAGGCACTACCCGCATCCACATGGGCCACCTTCAATGTTCCGGCCCAAGCCCCATCATCCTATAAAGGATTCCCCGTTGCGGCAGATGCACGTCTCCATGCACGGCCAGCGCTTCACTTAGCCCACATTTATCTGGACCGCTCCCGCGCAACGTTGGCCCGTCTTGTAGCTTTGTCAAGTCCAAGAGGGAATAAGCATCTCAACTAAAAAGAACAATGCTTCCCCGATGGTTTGAATTCGCGCCTTGACATCAAAAAATCAGCATGCTAACCAATATGCTACCAGTGAAATCGGAGAAGTGATGCGCGACATTCTTCTTAACGACTAATCACGACGCTTCCAACTAGCATTACCACCTCCATTCGGCCCGCTTCCACGTCACTTAGACCATCCACTATGGTTGGGTGGGAAATTTGGTGGGGTGGGGGGGGGGGGGGGGGAGGAGAATTTGGGTTTTTTGGGTTTGGGGGTGGGAAACCACATAATAGGTTGGGAGGGAAAAGTGGGAGGGGTGTTTTTTGATGAATATGATTTTCTGTTGATTTTGTGACTTTACTTAAATAATTTGATCGTTCTTTTTACATAGGTAGTAATAATTAATTAAGACGAACATGGTGATATAATTTTTTTTTAATTTGGACATAATTTTTTTTAATTAATTAAATATGACGTCATCAATGACGAAATCACAATAATGTTTCAGAAGACCATGACTCATCACATGTTTCACAAAATGAGTTGTGCCATCAACTATTAACCCAACTTTGGTCAGAAGGAGTGGTTGCATCAACTCTTCCTCAACCTTTAATCAGAAATAGTAGTGCCATCAATCGTTCCTACAGCTTTATTCAGAATGAGTGGTGCCATCAACTGTTCCTACAACTTTAATCACATTGAGTCATATTGTTGTTGAATGAATCTTTTCGTGTTTCTATAAATGAAGGCTAAAATTTGTCATTCTACTTCCACACCATTCAACCTCGTTCATTTTCGCAACTTCATACTACTCTCTTCACACCAAAATCTCTTTCTACATCATGAGTTTCCCAAACAGAGAAGTTGAGGAGAGTCAGCAGGAAGCCGGTGCTAGGCAATGGGATTATGAGTGCCAGCTTGACTGTGAACGTCAACAAATGATGGTGACGGCAAGTGCCTTCATGTTCCAGCAGCAAGCATCCTCATCTCGTCATCGTTCACACACCCGCAAATCGGTGTTTCGTAACAGGGTAGTAGCACACCAACATTTGATGCCATAATATTTTGTCCCAAATCCGACCTACGATGCTAGGTTCTTCCGAAGGAGATTTCGGATGCCCCTCTCCTTGTTCAACCGAGTCAATACAGACATCATTCAACACGACTCCTATTTCCAGCAAGGTCAAGATGCCGCGGGTCTCCCCTCCTTCTCCCCTGAACAAAAGATTACTACTTCCCTTCGTATGCTTGCAAATGGATGCTAGCCGACTCCATAGATAAAACCTTTTATATGGGTAAGACGATCGTACTGCACTGCATGCAGAAATTTTATAATGGCATCATATGCATCTATGGTCCTGAGTACTTACGAGCACCAAATGTGGAGGATCTTCGCCGCCTTTTTAATCACAGCGAAAGGCGTGGCTTCCCGGGTATGATCGGCTCAATCGATGCAAGCACTGGCAGTGGAAAAATTGTCAAATGGCTTGGCAATGCCAATATACTGGATACAAGGGGAAACCAACCATTGTCCTCGAAGCTGTTGCATCATACAACACGTGGATTTGACATGCCTTCTTCGAAAATGTTGGGTCAAACAACGACTTGAATACTCTTGGAGTCCACCACTTTTCCATGAAGCAGTCAGAGGAAATCTTCCAAAAGCCAGGTTTACGGTAAATAGTACAATTTATGATCAATGTTATTACTTGCTTGACGGGATTTATCCTCAGTGGTCTACATTTGAGAAGACCATTAGCAATCCTAGTAATCAGAAGAAGAAGTTGTTTACAAAATGGCAAGAGTCATACCGCAAGGATGTTGAGAGAGCCTTTGGCATTCTACAAGAAAGATAGGCCATTGTTAGAATACCTGGTCGGTTTTGCGATGTGCAAACACTGGGAGAAATTATGTTAACATGTGTTATTCAGCACAATAAATCGAGGATCAATGATATGAGTTTGGAGAGGAAGAAGCGGAGCAGATTGAGTATGAGACTAATCCGGATGTCTCATTAGATCCACCAGATCATGACACTCCAACCCTCATGGAGTACATGATGAGGCACAATAGGATTCGTAATTGCGAAGGCCATCACGCATTGAGAGATGACATGGTTGAGCATCTGTGGACAAAAGCAGGCGGAGAACAGTAGAACTTTGTTCTGTACTAAGTTTGTTTTATGTATGGTGTGCTAAGTTAAGTTTGTTTCATGTATTGTGTGGTCAACTTGTTTTATGTTTTGAGTGCTAATTTATGCTATGTGTTTGTATTGTTGTACTTTTTCTAATTTCATCAATGTATTTTCCCTTTTCTTGGTCATCGTTAAAGAAAATAGTTGCATTAATAGTTGAACTGCATTCCAATAATAAAAAGGATACATCAAGGGTTAATTCAAAGTACTTAAAGGAAACACAGTTAAAATAAAATATACATCAAGCAAACACACTTAAAACAAATGAAACTTATTCAAGATTACTGGTCGGGGGTGTAAGTGTTATCATATGGGCTATTGGCAGACCCCCATGGTGTTGGATTTGGCTGAAATGCAGACATAATCTGATCTCTTTGAGCTTGACACCATGCTCTTTGTTGAGGATCTCATTGAGAAAGATCCTGAAGTATGATCTCTCGTTCGTATTTGGCATTTTCCCTAGATTTCTTAGCATTCTCCCTTTCCTCCCTACCGATAGCCAATCTCGCATGTGTTGCTGAACTTGCCGCCATTTCTGGCAAGCTCTTTTGGAAAGCTTCCATGGTAGAATAATCACCACCTCCTCTTCTCTTCCTCTTTGACTGATCTCGACTGCCGGACGGTTGAGCACTATTGGGGAAGCAGTTGCTTGAACTCCAAGACTATCATTTTCATTGTTTGACATGGCCGAGAAAGATCCATCCTTTGGAGGAATGGTTACAACGGGGGCATAAAATTGTTGCATGAATCTGGGAGAATCTTTTAGTAGATTCCAACATTCTTGAAACTTCCATTCGTTCTTGTTGTCCGCATAATAAATAGCCTTTGCATGTTCCATCTAGACAATTAATAAAAAAAAATATACTGTTAAAAAAATGAAAATTAAAAATTTTAACTACTAATAATTAAATTCGTAACTAAAGTAAAAAAAACACATACATAATTAAAAAACGAAACACAAGGTTAACTAACCATGTCGACTTGGTTGGAACCGCTTAATGGGTTAGCACTTGCATTCGTCCATGTTGCATTCCACTTCCCACATACATAGTTGATGGTCTTCCATCGAGTTTTCAATGCATCATCAGTACGGGCACAAAAAAACCTTTCGAATGATATAACTGTCCCACTTTTTGTCAAAATGCCGCCGAGGCTTGATGATGACCGACGATTGGATCTTCACAAACTTCTATCTAAGTCTCGCACAAAGCAAAATTTTCAGGCTTGGTATAATTTGGATTGGGAGAATTGGAAGTAGACATTTTAGAGAGTTTGGGAATGAGAGGATTTAAGCTCATCAAAAATAATATCGTTATGGCCTGTACTTGAACCCGCG